GATCGCCATCGGTTTGGATAGTCCAATGTTGTATTTAAAAAATAGTCCAACGTGGAAGGGTTTCCCGCCGGAGGGATGAATGTCGGTTCATCAGGGAATTTCACTGTATACAGCCCATGCTGCGAGTGGTCGAAGAGCAGACGTCCGTTCTGATTCCGCTGATAGTTCCGCCATGCTTCGTGGCGGGCATTTAAATCGCCCCCAATGACGAATCGTGAGCTCGTGCGAGTGATGGTGGTCCGGCGACAAACCGGACGTTTCCGGTTGGTGATTCCACCTCCACACTAAGGGCCTCGATGATAGAAGTGCGGATATGCAGCAGCGTGCAGAACTTGATTCCTTTCTTCATGATGATCGCAACACCCCCCCCCCCCCCTGGAGTCGATACGATCAAGCCGGATAATGTGGTGATCAGGCAACCAAAAGCTGTCACCGGATTTAAGATGGGTCTCTGTTATGAGGCCTACGTCGATACTATGCTTGCGGAGGAAGTCAGCAAGCTCGAGTCTTTTTGCTCTTACAGAGAATGCGTTCCATGTGACGACAGTTATCGGTTAAGACACCATACTGAATAATAAACTTACTGAGCACTTGGATCTGTTCGGGCTTGCTGCGGCACTGGCGAAGAGCGCTGGTCATGTCGACGAAAATCTTCATCAGCTCATCCGCAGAGAAGAGATCGGGATTGGCGTTTTGTGCTGGTGGTTGTCTCCAGAATCCAGGGGGGATGGAGAGCTTTGTCCAGCTGAGGCACCAGACGTTTCTTGACGGGGGCCGGATTGCACCCGTGGATTTGCTTGACCGTGTTGCGTAGCAACGAAGAGGCGGGAAGTCCTCCACCCTGAATGCCGGAATGTGTTCCTTCTTCCGTCCTGGTTGTCCTCGCGTTTGGGGCACTGTTTGTCGGACCCCTTATGAGCTCCACCACATTTGCTACTTGTGTGAGCGCTTATTTGCTACTTGTGTGAGCAGTTAATGATTCTGAATAACATTTTGCATTGTTGATGTATAAAGAACAAGGAATCAACAATATCTCCAAATGAAAAAATTACGAGCGATCAACGAACCGAATGACAACGCTATGTCAGAAGTGGAAAGCAATAATGATATAATCTTCTTCCTTCTTTTCCATGACAAGCAGCCCATACGACACACAGAGAAAAAAAATTACCCTTAATTTAAGTTCTTTTTACTTAATTTTGGGTAATTTTGAGTTTTGCATCCCACTCTCACTTTTTGTTGTTGTTAAAAACGGAACGCGAGATTCGACTTTCTCATGACTATCGTTCAATAAGGTACTAGTGAGTAGATGAGATATTCTCAAATTTGAGTAAATTGAGCTTAATTTTGGGTAGAAAATACTCACGAGTAAGTAATTATTTTTGCCGTAGTCAAATGCAAACTACTATAAGCGGTTAACTGAAAATTAGCTTATTGAACAGAACATGGGAGATAAATGAAAAGAACTTAATTTTGGGTAATTTTTCGGTTCCGTGCACAGCTCACTCAGGGCGGTAGCTAAGAGAAGAGGTGACAATAAGGGGGCGAAAATGAACCACTTTTCTGTCAAACGTGAACCAGCTCCTGATTGGCCGATTTCATGTGCGTAAGATAGAGATAGAGATAGATAAAGATAGAGATTTAGATAGAAATAAAAGAGGAAGAAGCCAATTGTCACCTCTTCCTCTTAGGGCGGTAGAAGGAAACGAGCAAATTGTTGGCAAGCTGCTTCATGAAGTAAAGCCGAAGATGATACACGTGTGTTAATGGGATTTTTTTTGTTATGTCTTTTCACGATTTAGATCAAGCTATGTCCTCATCCGTGTAGGGTAGGATGGTGCAAAACGCACCGTTTAAGCAAAATCGTCAATGGCTGGCGAATGGAAGCTAAAATCAAGAAGAAAGTAATGGCGTTTGGTTCATTACCATGTTTTCTACAAAGATCAAGTGATTTAGAACTACAAAAGGATGATTTTCCATGACTTTCAAGGTATTTTTTAAATTGCTTCCAAAATGATATCGGGGCAAAACGCCTGATTCATGATGCAATATGCACCACAACATTGGAACAAGACGCACGACAACAATGGCCAAAACGCACCACAACATTGGGGTAAAATGCACCCCATGGTAAACAAACCATAACCCCTGCAAGTAGATAATGCAAAGGGATGCGGTATTTCAAATGATTATTTCTTTATGTTACATCAGAAGTAAGGTCTCAAAATCTCAATAGAATGTTAAACTGTGATTCATCAAGTAAAATATCTAAAAAATATACGAAACGTAAATTTTTTAATTTTTTTTTTGTGATACATGATGATAAAAGCTTAATTTACAGTCGATGATTTTAACAACTGTGTCCTGTTTTGCACAAAATGCAATTTTTTTAAGGAATCAGTAGGTCAATACATGATTTTATGATCAAGAATTATTTGTTAAACCTCCAGTTGAAAACAATCACAAACCGTTACCCGGAAAATGCATCTGAGGAAAAGTTATCGCTGTTTTTCTATAAGTGGGCATTTTACCCCAGGGGTGCATTATGGGCTGTTCTCCCTTATATAGCAACAGAGCAGGCAAGCAATATATCATTATCCTTCTACCACTCCGATCGAGCTATGTTACAGAGCGAGTTTGTCATGGTAGTCGTAGCAACCGTTTTGTCTGTATCGTTTGATGCTTTATGTGTTTGCATTCGCTGATCAAGAATATACTGTCTCAATTTAACACCAGTTTTTCGAATTTGAAGACTTAATTCTTCTTTCTGGCTCTGATGCACTTACACGTCCTTTTACCTGCCCTCAACTTAGCGTTCTTTGAAGCACTTCCACAGTATTTTTTTTTGACAGCTTTCGATGCCATCCAATGAATGGATTTGTATCTTGTGTGGCAACCCAACAAACAATTTGAGCTGATTAAAAGCTGAATAAGCTAGTTTTTAGTTGAAGAAGCATAATTTTTCCTAAAGAAGCTCTTATTCAACTGTCAATGTTTGTTGGGAAGCAGAATGGTACTCTACGCCCAGAAGACTGATGCAAAATTTGAAATTTTCGATCCATAGTGCTTAAACGGTTTCAAATTGGGTCTTGCTTAGCCTCACAAAATTTAAATTACTTTAGTAAGAAACTGACTTGGGACAAACCATTTCAAGTTTATATGCGAATTACTATGGAAAAACTTATGTCTTTGTTCATATGTATTTAACAATTCACCACATCACTATGCTTTTAAAAATGATAACTGCAAAGCAAATTTTCTCACCTTTAACTTTGTTGAAAACTACTTTTCAATCAAATGTAAGGAACAAAAGTTATTAATGATTCAAGTCACTGATGTCTTATGATTATGCTCATTCAACTGTTCTGCAGGCAACATTGGTGTTTCTGGTGCAAAGAATAGAGCACACATATCATGATTACTATGTCACACTGCAGAATACAGTGTTGCCACAGAACAGCTGCTTGATCATGCCATAAGATTATCGATCTATTAAACAATTAATTACACATTTGGACAATTTGACATTTTGCTGAAAAACGATACTCCGCCAAGTTGTAGCTTAGGAAATCGCCCGTAAAAAAAGGTCTAGAAATTTTCGAAAAAGTAATATGGAAAATGGGTAGAAGACAATGAACAAAAAGTTTGGTTTTCCCATAGTAATTTCCATATAAACTTCGAATAGTTTGTGCCAAGTCAGTTTCATGCCAAATGAGTTTAAATTTTTGGTGGCTAATCAGGACCTGATTTGAAATCGTTTGAGTACTGTGGAGCGAAAATTTCAAATTTTGCATCAGTCTAATGCCCAGATAAGACGACAAAATTTGAATCTCGAATTCCTGGACCGTGAATCGAACCCCCCCCCCCCTCCCCCCTCCGGGTTGACCGAGCCTTTGCTGACAATGCTATCTGAGGTCCAACTACTACAGAGCTATCTGAGGTCCAACACTACAGATAATGAAATATGGTGAAATTCATTCATCGTCATTTATTTGTTGAAAATTTCTCTGTCTTGAATTCTGTCTGCAACGGAAAGATCATGTATCGTATCATGTACGACATCAAGTATGCATGCAAATAAAGTTCACCCCCAGCCAAACCTTTCCAGCGCACAGTTGATCAAGTTGACATTTCACGAAAAATAGAACAGTCAATTATATCAACCCAAACGAAGAACCCACACTCCCGCGATATGCAAAGTGACCAGCCTATTAATGCCAATACCTGTCATGTGTCCTGTTGGTAATACTCGTCAAAAGCATAAAGTCCGTCTCGCGTCTCGTGCATTGCTTCATAACTTTCGTGTAACATTTGCGTACATTTCAGCGTCAATCAACTCGACTTGCGTCTGCAGGCAACCTCGACATCAAGTAGTTGATGGATCAAAATTCGAATGAGTTAGTTTGTATGAGACATAATTGGAAAGAGGAGGAATAGCCACAGTAGCAGGCAGCAGGCAGCAGGCAGCAGTGTGTAGTGCATCATTTGTTTATTCATTTGTCAAAAGGTGGTACGGCTTCATATTTGGATCGGCCCCGCATTATGTGTGTTGTCTTGTAGTGTCCAGAAACAACAGCATCCAGCAGCAACAGCAGCAGCAGCTTCAAAGCACTATTTCAACTGGGCAACACAAATCTCATTCTTCTTATTCTTCTTCTTCTTCTCCCTCTTTCCAGTGCATGTGCCCATGCAAATTGATCGATTTCGATTTCGATCTAGATTTCCTCTGAATTGTATGCAAATCAAGCCCACTCTGCACGGGGAGAGTTCGGAATTTAAAACTTGCATATAATATCGAGATGGAAGGAAGGAAAACGAGCACAACAACCTGCCACACATCTACAACATTTTCAGAAAACACACACACTCCACATCAGCGGCCGTCAACCGGACAGCGACAACATTAGCAACAACAACAACAACAACAATGATGCGGGGGTTGGAACTGTCCAAGGACCATGTTGGAAAATGTTGAATCCCAGAATTGTGTGTGCAGGCGAGCGTTGGCCAGCACTGTACAAAATAACATCGAGCATGAAATGATAGGTTTTAAGTTTTATTCTGGGCTTCATGCATGTTATAGAAAAGGTAAATTCTGCTTCAGTATTCTTATGCTTCGTCAATTGTTTTTCGCTTCGATGCGACTTTGTTAAGAATTCAATCGACTTCATGCTAGCATCAATTTTACATTTTGTCCAAAACGTCGGATAATTTCCCACAGTGCATCAACAAACAGGTAGCAGCATCATTATCCGATTCACTTTTTTTTCCAAAGCTCATTAGTGACGTCCCATCCAGACCCATCAATTGCGATGGTCAGAGCCCATTACAAACGAACCACGTCAAAACTAATGAAAACATTATGCGCACATTATGCTCCCGCAAAGCAATATGAGATTAAATAAAAAGCGAAAACTGCCCTCGCACACAAACACACCCCCGCCCATCTACCGGCCGATATGAGATGGTTTACGATGGGCTCCGACGAATATGTCGATCACACTGATAAGATTTATTGCCCCAATGCTTAACATGTAAGAATCGCGCATAAGTTACACCCAAATGTGGTCATTGGCAATCATTTGATGGGTGCTGGTCGTCGCCGTCGTCGTTGATGTCGTACTCTCGCACTCGGTAATCGATTGCTGGTCAGCAAGCGATAAATCACCGTCGTTACCTCCGCACTGCGAGTAGAAGTAGAGCTGGTGGCCGTCGTCATTTCCCCCATCGCAAGCCGGCAGGACACTAATTTAGAAATTGATCGTAAGATTCGAAGCGTGATAAGAAAGTTAATCAAGATGGTTTAATCGGAGGACATTCTAGCCTACTCATTGCGGTCTAGTGTGATTAAATCTTGGTTATACCATCGCATTGTTAAGGCACTTTTGTAGCTCATTTGGCCGGAGGCTAATGGAAAACTGATTCGGCTTTCAAAATGCATCTGTGGTGATCTAAGCATTTTGGAGAACTATTCGAATACCCTAGTGTGATGCGACGATGAATAAATATGGCTGCTCTTGGATATATCTATCGAGACTTGTTGAAGATTGGAAAGATACGAACCACGTGTAAATTAGTGTTTGTATTCATCAGTTTGTCGTGTTGTTCTGTTTACTTTTACTTTTTGGGCTTCAATCCGTTGACTCTGAATCTGTTGGTGCATGCGTATAAGACTGATGCAAAATTTGAAATTTTCGCTCCACAGTGTTCAAACGGTTCCTATTTGGTTCCTGATTAGCCTTCCAAAATTTGAACTCATTTAGTAAGAAACTGACTTGGCACAAACCATTTGAAGTTTATATGGAAATTACTATGGAAAAACCAAATTTTGTGTTCATATCTATCTAATAATTCACCCTATTACTATGCTCTAAAAATTAATAACTGCAATTGTAGTAAATTTTTACAGCTACAACTTTGTTCAAGACTATGTTTAGATAAAATTTAAGGATCAAAAGTTATTAATGATTCAAGCCACTATTGTTGCTTGATCAATTGTTGCCATAAGATTATCAATCTCTTAAACAATTAATAACTATTTAATTTAATGTTTGGCTGAAAAACATTTTTTTTTCCTTGGTTTGTTTTCCGTCGATCTTGTTTTCAATGCTACCGACGCCAGGGAGGCAGCTCCCACACCTGAACCCTACCTATTGACTCATCAACTCATGAACCGGGGACCAACGGCTTTACTTCCCTTCCGAAGGAAGGCGTGATCAGATATGTTATGCCTCAGAACATCCCGGCAGCGCCGCCTGCTGGGGTGAGAGGTAATCACGCTTACCACGTCTGAAAAACAATATTCCGCAAAATTGTAGCTGAAAACATGTTCCATAAGAATAGCTATAGAAATTTTTAACGGTGCAATATGGAAGAAGGATAGAAGACTACGAAAAAAAAAAAGTTTGGTTTTCCCATAGTAATTCCCATATAAACTTCAAATGGTTTGTGCCCACACTGAACCAAATCACCCTCCATTTATAGAATGAAACATCATTCAGTTGCATCCGATTCCAATGTTTCCGAAAACAGTATGACAAAATCAGTCGGATGATTGTCTATTCGGAAACATTCGGATGAATGAATATTAACAATGTCAATTTGACATGTTTTTGTATGTATTTCGTTAGCAATAAATATGTTAGATATAATGAAAAACATTCAGTATGGAAACGAATGGAATATAATTTGAAATAGTCCGATAACTAAAATCATTTGATTTCACCTATAAAATCATTTATAACCGAAAAAAATGGCAACACACGTTATGTGTAAACTTCAGTTTAAAGTTGTTGTATATTTTCAAAGATCTTAAGAGAAATGAAATGTTCAGATGTAAGTATACGTATCATTTTGCTAGTTCACATGCATTTAATGTTCAAGAATGTCAGCATTTGGAACGGTCATCACGCCTGGATCATCCAGAACGTCGTGGTCGACCAATTTTACTAACGAGGTCAAAAGATATGTTTCCTTCCAGATGCACATGCACGATGAGACTATTGAAGTTTTCCCATTATTTCCCAGGCCCCATAGCAACCTACGGATACGTTTCCCAAGAGTCAGAGCAATCGCTCCTGTAATGACATCGTTGACTACTACGAAGCCAACATCAATCTGCTGTATAAACACATCTTTGCCCTTCAATTGGCTCAATCTCGCCATCATCATTCGTCTCTCAAGGACCCGCCAGCTCAGTTCAAATCACAACTTGTAAATAATATAACCATAAATAAATTGTAAAATGACTTGATGTTGTGCACCTGATTTTCATCCGAAAATTATCATATAATTTCAATTTAATAATTAGTAAAAAATAATACGATTATCCTATGATTTAATGTTTGATTTATGTCTACTTTGGTTTTCGCAAATCGATCTGAACCCAACAAACAATGCCAGTTTAATAAGAGCTTATTCAGGCAAAATTACGCTTCTTCAGCTAAAAATTAGCTAATTCAGCTTTTAATCAGCTCAAATTGTTTGTTCGGAAATCATTCATTATACAGATGATTGTCATTTGATATGTTCATTTTCCAACAGATGATAAATCAAATGAAGATCCTCTCAAAATCATCTGATAATAGTTATAGGGCTTGAGCAAGGCAATAATCATTCGATGCCAGGATGATGTTTTGGTTCAGTACAGTCAGTTTCTTATCAAATCAGTTCAAACCTTGGGAGGCTAATCTAGACCCTATTTGGGATCCGCTTGAGCACTGTGGAGCAAAAATGTCAAATTTTGCATCAGTCTAATGCTATGTGCTTTACCTATATGTGAGGCAGTGCCTCTTACGAATGTATTAGTAAGCGGGGCAAACTTTATGGGTGATAGTGTGGTCCCGTGTACCCGAAGCTTCAGGCACCGGATACAATTAAGTTGCAACGCCATAATCACGATTTTTGTTCGAAGAGTTGGTTCTTATGTCGTCACCACTTTTCATCTCCGAAAATGTTTAGTAGTATTGCTCTCAAACACAAACAAACACTATCATGTGCCACTCCTGTACGTTTATCTCATTGAGTCTAATGCGTATGCATCGTCAAATCAACACTATCGTAAAAAGCTTAACAACGTGATTGGATTTTGAAGAAGTTCACTGAACGAAAACATCCGCAATACTTCGAATGATTATTGTTTTGCTCGGGCCCTTTAACAATATGCTGTCGAATTTCGGATAGTTGCCTTATGGTTGAATTCGTCATCAACTGATGATTCATCATGGATACAAAAAGTGTGTGTTGATAGAGGAAACTTCTTCTTCTTCTTCTTCTTCTTCTTCTTCTTCGCATTTCAAGCTTATTGCATATCGCATATTAGCTTATTGCGTGCTCTCAACTTAGTGTTCTAGATGCACTTCCACAGTTATTATTTGAGACTTTTCGATGCCTCTACCATTTTGCATTGGTATAATTGTGTGGCAAGTTCAACATACTTCTATGCTCAGGGAAGTCGAGACATTTTCCAACCCGAAAAATTCCTAGACTCGACCGGAAATCGAACCCAGCCACCTCCAGCATGATCTTGCTTTGTAGCTGCGCCTTTATCGGCTGAGCTAAGGGAGGCCCAAACTTCCTCCACCACGAAATAGACAATCTTCGATTTCCACGCTTTACCAATGTTCCAGACCAGAGGTGGTCCTGATAGCGATGACTATGTTTTCAACTTGTTTGTCTGCTCAGAGTAGCAAATTACATTCGATAGGACGAGGACGAGGAGGAGGACGATTTGCGTTAAGGGACTGAACCAATACCAAATGCATTCTAATTTAGGATGACTATCATTCTGCTGCGAGGGGGGCGACTCTATCTACCATGCAGGAGATATTGTGTTTTGCTGTGGCTAGCTGTGCGTACGCTGAGTACAGTCAGGAATCCTTATTGCCGGGGTAACGGGGGCGTGAATAAGGAACCGCGAATAAGGATACCCACAGCTTATGGGATTTTCACTAATGGGGGCTGTAGTGGATTATCTCATTTGTTTCAATACATAAAGCTATACTGTCTTCGACAAAGTTGCTGTACTGGGTTAGACCAACAAGCCTGTGCCATTGGATTCGGGTTAAATTGAGAACTACGCCGCTAGAGGCGCTTCACTTTTATGTTACTTATGACTGGCGCTATAATATATGGATCATATTTCCAACATAGAATATTTCGTGATCCTGACCATATAGAAAGTTCCTGTCTTGAGCAAAGTTGTTCAGGTGACCAAGTCCTTTCGGATGGTGGCCATATTAGTTCAGAACTCTCTCACTACGCAGCGCTAGTGTGCATGTGCAATTCCTATATAAACTGTATCTCGAGAGCCTGGCCATATAGAAAGTTGCTGTTTTCAGCAAAGTTGTGCAGGTGATCAAGTCCTTTTGGATGGTGGCCATATTAGTTCAGAACTCTCTCACTACGCAGCGCTAGTGTGCATGTGCAATTCCTATATAAACTGTATCTCGAGAGCCTGGCCATATAGAAAGTTGCTGTTTTCAGCAAGCAGGTGATCAAGTCCTTTTGTATTGGATGGTGGCCATATTAGTTCAGAACTCTCTCACTACGTAGCGCTAGTGTGCATGTGCAATTCTTATATAAACTGT